GCGATTCCTGAGTATTTTTTCTTCCAAATTTTAGAGGAACACTGAAAAAAAATGTGCTCGGCTCAAGCATGATGATTCTTGAATTCGCCACCAAGAATTTTTTTATCTTGATTTAAGCTGAATTTTTCACGATACAAGAAAAAAATGCTCGGGTAAGCAAAAAAGTAGTTTATATTAAGCAGCAAAATTCATGATTCAAGAAAGCCTACTTCTTGGCGGCAAAAATTTCCTTTTTTTTTCAGTGAATTTTGTTTGTAATTTGGATCGCATTTGACGAAAAGGAACCAGGAGCATTCCAATGTCGCTAAGACTGTGTAACCTTTTTCACCTCGCGAATATAAACTGATCACCTAGACAAGTTTTATCTTTGCACCCGATAAACTATAAATTTAAGACAAAAATCACCTTTGTAAAGTCAACTTTTTGCATGATTTCCAGTGGCGTGGCGTGCTTTGCGATAAATCGATTTTTATGCCATTTAAACCCATGGAAAAGGATCGATAAACAGGGTGTTCGCAGCGAACACCTTAATAATCGATTCCTCACCGAAGGTTTAAATGGCATAAACATCGATACATCGCAATTCACGCCACGCCACTGATGATTTCAGTACTATTACTGCAAAGAATGAATAGGTTACACAATTCCAGCAACATTGGAATGCCCTTGGTTCTATTTTGCAAAATGCAATCCATTTGATCTAAAGTGTTCGAAAATTTCAACGAAAATTTTTCCTGTCAATCCTCAAAAATAGGTATTGTCTAAGGGGTAAATTTGGCAACATGCGCGTGTTCATACGACGTTTTTCCATAGCAGGGCAGGCTGAGCGATGCGACTGGCGACGGGATTGCACAGTTCATTTGCTTTTCGACCGGCTCTGCTTTTTTGGAAATTATAGCATCCGCCAAGTGACCAGTGCCCGGAGATGGATTCCGAGAACTAGGACCTCCCCAACGGGGAATCTTGATCGGGCTACCGTTTTTTTCCCATGTTCCAGAATCTCGGAGGAGGAAGGAGGTCCAGCGGGTGCCACCGTGGCTACACCTGGCGGGTGGCGCTAACAGGGATGACATTCGGCCTCGCCTCCTTCGGATTTTAGTCCAAACTCGAGAAACAAGTGCTGGAAAGTTAAGAACCTTGTTCGTATTCACACCGCGAGTAGTAGTGATCGCGATAAGTTGCGATTTGTTGCGTTTTTGGTAGCTTATTGCCTACTCTTTCTATTAAATGATTTGGCATAAAAAATATCGATGTTTCGACACCAAGGACGAAGGACAGGTAAAACAAAATTATCCCATTTAACCCTTGATTTGAAGAATTATGGAGGCTCGTTAATTGCATCATTTCCGGCCTGCGATAAGAGCTACACAGCAAGCCGAAAGTAGAGAAAGGAAGCCAGGTTGCTAAACTTCGAAAAAAATTCAACTGGAAAAAAGTCAGTTCCAGGAGAGACCTGAGAAGAATTTTTAGGGAAAAAACTGAACGTCCTTTCTTAGATAAAAGAACGTAAGTGTCTTCCAACTTCAACACTGCAAAATCCACAAGAGAGTGTTGCGCGTTTCTATTTGAAAATTTCACAGACTTTGCTTCTGATATCACGCAGAAGTCAGTAAAATCTTGGACTAAAAATCAAAAAGTCATAATTTCATCGATTTTTCTTCCGATTTCACGTGAAAGTCAATAAAATTTTGGACTAAAAATGACAAAGTCATAATTTCAAGAATAAAAACAAACTCTTTGAGTCGATTTAGTGATATTGGAATTGAGTTAGGTTCCTCCGTCTTCAAAACTACAAAAATTCGAATTGGGCGTTGAAAGAAAAAAAAAGAAGAGGAAAAAATTAAATAAGGAGTTAAAGATCTGCAAGGGGAAATTTTCAACAAAAACTCAGTTTTGGGCAAAAACAAGCTGGGCTCCCTCCAAACCGAGACATGCGATTGGATTGCATTTCACAATTAAAAAAGAACCAAGAGCATTCCAACGTCGCGTCGCGTCGACAAGACTGGGTAACTTTGTTTACCTTGCAACTATTGAACTATCTTCACTCCCGATGAACTATACATTCAAGACGAAAATTACCTTTGTAAAATTTAATTTTTTGAGCGCTTACAGTAATTTTATTTCGAAGAATGTACGTTGCACAATTCTAGCAACATTTGAAGGCTTTTGGTTCCTTTTCGCAAAATGCAATCCAAGTACTCCAACTGTAAAATCCACAGCTCCACAAAATCGACGATACCGAAGAAAATAAATCTCACCTCTATGACGCAACGTGCCAACGTGCGATCAGATTCGGTTGATTTTTGGGCCAAAAAACCGGGGGCAAAAAAGGGGGAGGGGACGACGAAGACGCCCAGGACCAATTGATACAGGTGACGCTCAAGGTCGACCCTGATGCCTCCCCCTCCATTCTCGGCGTCCTTTTTTTTCGGGATGAAAGGGATTTTCAAAAAGCCCGTGGACCCGAAAAGGAGCGATTGAAGACGATTCGTTACAAGTTGCGGGCGGACAAAAGGGTCGCGTCTTGCGGCCGGGGGTGCGGGGAGGTCATTGTGTGGGTGCGGGTCGAATAAAAACGAAAATAGTCGCTCCTCTAGCGTAAAGACACCTCGCTATCTCTGTATGAGCCTTGGAGAGTACGTATTCATACGGGAAATAAGGCTCATCTGGAAAAGCGATTACGTCCTTACGTTTGAGGAGCTATGAACCCTGGCGACGCCAGAGACCCCAGATCGCACCTGCCCTGGAAACTGTGCCACGGATGACGCGCTGGGCGAGAACCGCGTATGATTATTGGGAATCGCGTGGGTGTTGCGTTGTTTTGGCTCGTTTAGCACCCGACGCAACCGACGCTGCGTTCTGTGCTGCGTCTTGCGTTGTGTTGCGGAGCGCTGAGTCACGCTTTCATTTTGCATTTTCAGAAATTTACCGTGCACAAGGATTTGGGAATCCGCGATTTTGGTCTTGGTTTTTGAGACCGGAGACGATGGATTATCCACGCTGACGTTGAAAGTCGACTTGTTTTATTTGGACCGAGTTTATTGGAAAGGAACTAACACACATTTTCGGAAAAATTGAGTTAAGAATGTTAAAATAATTGAATGAATGGGTGGTGAAACATTTTATTGACACAAAACTTGACGCCGTATCAAAATTGCGACTAAATTTTAAGGACGAAAAATTACCTACGCGAATCACAGCGTTCTGCATGTGATGCGTGTTTCTTATTCATATCTCTATGTTGCCTGAAGATTTTTTCAAGATAAGAAGCTATTTTTTAACGACAGAATTAAATTAAATCTTCCAGCTAAAAGCGGTTTTAGCGGGAATCGTCTTCATCAACATCGTCCCTGTTCCTTTCTACTTAGGTACTTCTTTCTAGAGAGTTGTACCGAAAAATTTTTGGTACAACCAAAGTGATGATACAAGAAAGTGATGATAGCGATGAAGCGATGAAAGTATGTCGGTGAATTTTTGGCAAAAATTCACTATTATGTGTAGCTCCGGAATAAATAATTTTATAATCGGTTCTCGAAGTTCAGAGCTGTGCATTGGGTCAGCGGTTACAATTCTTGTGGCCAGCGTCCTTCAGACGCATGCCAAAGCTACGCGACCCCTCCCACCCTAAACTGTCTGGAGGTCATCTATATCCGGCTGAGACCGAGCTTATGAGCAGCGAACGTGAGAGAAAGATGAGAAGTAACCTCCAGCATCAACGTAGAGAAATTATGAATGAAAAACGTAATATTTGCCTCATTGGCGGTATTAGTGTTAGTATCTAATATCTTTTATTTTTTCCCTGGTGTAAAAATTGAACGTTTCATCTAACTTAGCGTCTCGCCAGGTACAAATCCGGAAGATCTCAATTAAGAAAGTCATCCTGGCTTCCTCCGATCAGATTACTGGGGAATCCTATCTGATACACGCTGACACTCTCACAAATTCATTTTGCTTAGCAATTAATCAAAATGACGCACGTGCGGTCAGATTTTTGACGACCATCGAGTCTGCGTGTTAAAAAGCTTGGTTTTTTATGGGGATTTTTTCAAACCGCTGATTGCAAATGAAGTCATATTTGCTGAAATGGATAACTTAATTATCTCGCTCGTCAAACCTGCTAAATTCTTCATCATATAATGTTTTGATCATGTTCCGAAAGACAACATGTCATGCTGCGCAAAGTTGCATGTCTATGTTACAATTTACATGTCATAATCCTGCCCCTACCCCCCCCTTTTCACGTCGCAGTTTTAACTTTTTTTCATGACAGACTATCTACATGGTACATGCTTTCTTTAATGAAACTATTGAAGACAATTGCTTATTTCCGAAAAAAAAAAATTGTTTGAAAAAAAAAGAATAAACTAAGACAGTCATTATGTACTACAAAGATGAAAATTGAGAGGATAGAGAAGAAAACACGACTGACAGTTGCTATTTCTATTAGAGCTGACTTAAATCTTGGTGTAAACACGGAAATCAGTATTATTAATGGCATTGCAAAGTTATTTCTATGTGAATTCATATTTTGCGAGGCACGAAAAAAATCAATCAGTGCATGCCGCGTAACTACTCGTTTCTTTTAAAAAAACCTTTTAGATTCTCCAATTTTGCAAATTATTTCGTATGAAAAGGTTCTGCGAATGAAAAAACTAACGAATACGTTTAAAGAAATTAATTTTTTGCACTGACATCATGCACCAGCTTGTTACGAAACCTCTTCTTTTGGCTGGCAATGATCGCTAAGGGGTGTAAGGAAGGGGGATGATTTTCGAGGGACAATTTTTTTGCGATTCTTTTTGAAAAGAATCGTTTTGAGCAATATTAGGTGCTTCGACTTCAAACTGATGAAATTTTCTGTCAGGTGTCAGCTAGAGAAGACGGCGAGAGAGGGTGCAATATACTCGCGCGACCCCCCCCCCCTCCCATTTGTTTTTTAAAAAAATGAATTCACAAGGAAATTATGCAAGGGGGAGACGTAGAATAAAACAGAGTCCTACCTCCAACATCCATGTGGTGACCATTTTCCTCATGAAGGGCTTGATGTCACTTTGCACTTGTTCGAAATAATCGACCCTGGGCACATACCCGCACTCGGAATCCAACAGATTGTTCAACACCCGAACATCACCGAACACAACCCGGTCAGTTTCGGCGAATCGATTGTCTGGGCTGATCCGTTCCGAGCACAGCAAATCCATGATTCCGCTTCGAAGTATCCAATCACCGAGAACCAAAAAATCGCACCCACAACCTAGCGAACAGTTCTTGCGAGCTGTCAACGCACGAACACAACCACAAGCAGCGTCTTTCACTGACAACACAACGACAAGCAGTGTCTTTCACAGACAACACAACGACGAGAAGATCCGAGGTGTAATCAGTTCAGCGCGGAATTCCGCCGGAACGCAGCAATGTAAACAAAAATGCGAGCGCGTAAACCATGTGACCGGAGCACGGACGAAAGAACACGCGACCCGCTCCGTTGGAATGCAGCAGCGAGCTGATAAATACACTCCAGATTCGGCTGTGCAGCTATGCGACCCCAGCGCTACCTGGCGGACCGCGCCGCGCTGGTGATAAGAGGACGAATTTCTAAAGGGACAAGGACGGACGGCAGTTGGCGAGGGGAGCGAGAGAGATAGAAATTAATGAACATAGAAAGGCTTCTATGAAACACCTGGGGGTGTTCCCTTCGCCTTTTGGAAACATCTGCTCCTACCTCTAGCTTATAACAATATAGAGTACGGATGGGGGGAGCGGGGGCTGTGAGTGTGTACTACGCACATGCACACTCACATTCACGACGGTTGTGCGTGGCTTGTGGTAGTGAGGCGAGTTCGACTTATCGCGGTTCGACGTGTGCAAACCGGTTGGTCGCGAATGAAGAATGAGTCTCGTATTGCGACGGAACTGCAGTTTTCGCCTCCTCGTCATGATTCAATCCGTTTTTTTTTGTGATTTTTTTTAAGTCTTTTTAAACATTATTTACTGTTATGTTACTGAAATAAATTCATTCATATCCTTGTTTCATTTAGGCATGCTATTTTTTTGTAAAAACTGTAGTGGACGAATACATGAAAACAGTGGCGAGGCGTGAACGATCGATTATCGATATTTACTCATTTGAGGCTATGGTGAAAAATCGATTGTTAAGTGTTCGTTGTAACACCCTTACTGGAAAAAATACACATTGGATCTAGAGTCCAGACTCTTGAAAACATTGACAAGAAAAAATACTCTTGATTCAATCAGATTTTTGCTTAAATTAAAAGGAAATCCGCTCTAATTAAGAGGCTTGGTTCTTGATCTACGCAAAAATCCGATTGAATCAAGAGCATTTTTTCTTGTCGATGTTTTTAAGAGTCTGGACTCTAGATCCAATGTGTTTTTTTTTTTCCAGTGCTGTTTATCGATCCTTTTCCATAGTTTTCAATGACAGATCAATCGATTTTTCGCAAAGCACGCCACGCCACTGAATGAAAAATAAGACGCTCGCGTGACACGAAAATAAAATTAGATCTAAGATTTTAAGCCGAAGGCAATAAGAGAAATATCGAGAGAGTTGAATAATGGAAAACATAATTTTGAATTATTTCAGGAATTCAGACTCATGGGAACACCTTTTGCCGACCTTCTAAAATGAAGGCGAATCCGTTTACAGGAACACGTCGCGCGCCCTCGGACTGGAATCCCAGACGCATCCTTATAGCACAGAGTGGCGGGTTTCCCTCAACGTCAAAATTGAGTTAAGAAACCTCAAGCATGGAGGATTAGAGCCGTCAAATGGGTTTGGATGATTGAATTTTTTTCATAAAGATCCGGCAAAGCTTAAAGCTTACTGAGAACGAAAAACCTCAGAGACTTGAACGCAAGAGTAGAAAAAAAATAGGACCCTACTCTTAGCCATTCTCACTACAGGAGAGAGTGGCTATGGTGTGTTCCGTCATTCGTAAGTCTACGGAGAGAGAATAAAAAAAACAGCTTCAGTTGATTTTGATTGTTTTTTACCAGATTTATGGAAGCCTCGAACCGGAAATATTTGAAATATTTTATTAATTAATATATAATTGATTACTACCTCAAAATTGAATTATTTATTAATACTTATTAATTATAATTATTAGTTAAATTTTGGTTAGGAAACATGTATCAAAATGCTTAACTTCGTACCTTGTCCAGTGCGGTCCACTCCAAGTTTATGCAACAGCAACATGGGCCTCCACTAGAAACCCGGCGCGCCTTCAATTTTTAGCATATGCATCATGGACATCCGCTGAGGTGGAATAGTTGCATTCAAATGTTGCTATCATTTTTGGGTTATCATTTCGTTGGTTTATTAATCGAGTAAGGATCAACTGAAATATTTATTATTGATTAATTAGTCACAGGCTCGCGATACTTTTGTTTTCGACGCGCTCGGCCGTCGAGCCATCTTTATAGGATTCTATACACGACTCAAAACGCCGGCCGAACGCGAAAAAAACAAAAATACTAACCCGTGACTAAGGAATCAATGATACATATTTCAGTTGATCCTTACTCGATTAGGGTGATTCGATGGACGCCATATTTTGTGTCAGAACCGCATGCGATATATCGCATCAATTAGCTCCATTTTTTCAGCTACTCGTCATTTTTCTCCAATTTTGAGATCGCAATTCTGTTGTCAGGAGACTAAAGCACTCACTCTCCAATTTTAACAAAGAAATTCAACGTAATAAAGGCGTGGTTTTTTTAAGAGAGGAAATATCGCATTCGAGTGCAGTTTCGATATCAGTATCGAATGCGATGTTTTCTCTCTGAAAAAACCACGGCGCCTTTATTACGTTGAATATCTTTGTTAAGATTGGTAAGTGAGTGCTTTAGTCTCCTGACAACAGAATTGCGATCTCAAAATTGGAAAAAAATGACGAGTAGCTGGAAAAATGGAACCAATTGATGCGCGATAAATCGCATGCCGTTCTGACACAAAATATGGCGTCCATCGAATCACCTTTATAAACCAACGAGCTGCAAAATGATGGCAACAATTGGATGCAACTTATTGTTAGCGGATGTCCATGATGCATATGCTAAAAATTGAAGGCGCACCGGGTATCTAATGGAGGTCCATGTTGCTGTTGCATAAACTGGGAATAGAGCACTAGACAAGGTACGAAGTTAAGCATTCTAATACATGCTTCCTGACCAAAATTTTACGTAGAACACAATTCATACAACGAACATTATTGAATTTACTCTTAACCAAGAAATTTATAGTGTTTCTTGACGCGTAAAATTCAAATGCTCCTGAATCCCTGAGCTTTTACCCTCTTTGCGTTTATTGTCGGATACTTCCTTGTCGGAAAAACACATGTCGAGTAATTTTGTCAATTGCCTAGTATCGAAATTAGCACTCGGACGGAGGGTTGGAGACAGAGGGTGGTAAATGCACGCGAGGGAAGTGAAAATCGGAGATAACATCTCGGTCATGGTTGCTGGAGTCATATCATTGAGATTGAAACCAGAGGGACAATACATTCGACAAAAATATTTGTAACACGTAGATCAATTTTAAAACCAAGGGAAACACGGATCCCCGTTACAGCGTTTCAAAATTTCCACACTTCTTCCTCTTTTATACCTGAAGCAAAACTCATCGTTATGACGTGGAATTTTTACACATTTCGTGGGTGTCACAAAAATTTGCAAGTGATGGCGTTAACAAGTTTCCAATTTAAAAATCAAGTGTGGGAGGAAAGTGGAAACGTTATACAAATCGAGATATCTGAGTGCTTTTTTGCCTAGCCATCGACACCGGAGAATTTGCAGGTGTTTGAAATTTGATGAATTCCGTGTTAAAGTGGACAGTGTGACAAGTGAGCTGAACTCGAGGATACCCTTGGTTCATAAATTGAACAATTGGACGTATTTCTACCAGACGGAACTATGTGCACTATGACGTGAGCCCTGTTATGCATATATCCTTATGGCTCTCAGAGCTCATGTCTTAGTGCACATAGTTCTGTTTAGCAGAAATACGTCCAATTATTGGAGGAGATATGACAAAATGATCTAATCTGCTAAAATACATGCGTTTAAATGGAAAATGCCGCCAAATGATGTCACTAGGCGGCGCATTTTCTCACTTTTAAATCTATTTTTATACTATTTCCCATAGTTGAAAAAATTATGAAAAACACTGCAACGTCAGCTCTTTAAGCCCTTTCAGATGAAGCAATAAAAATTTGCGTGCAAATTCTCCGTTACGAAATAGAAGAGAATGCACGATTAGTATAGGATTTTTTCGCGCTTTAACTCGAGAAAATTTCTATTTATCGAATTTTTAAAGAGCCGCTCGCCTTAAGCCAGAGAAAATTCTGGGGAATCAAATAAAAAAAAGTGTCAGATAATGTTCCCAGAAGAACTTGAAAAGAGTACACTTTTGCATCAGTAACCTCCTCGTGAGGATAGGGACTCGTAACCAGAGACAAGAGACCCTCCACTGGCCTCTTGGCGACAGGTGGGAAGCTTTTACTTTCGGGGATTCAACAATCAATTTTTTCCTTATGGACAATTATAAGGGACCAACTGTCATCACCCTAATTTCGGTAGTTGACCTACTTGGTGGATGATGAGCTTCGGGTGACGTCGTGAGCCAAACAAGTTTCCCAAACTTCGGCCATATTCGGCTCGTGTGCAGCACGAAACGACCAACACGTTGTTGAACCTCAACCATGTCATGTAGGTAAGTCAACAGTAGAATGCTGAAGTCCCGAAAGTAAAAGCTTCCACCTGTCGCCAAAAGGCCAGTGGAGAGTCTCTTGTCTCCGCTCGCGACTCTCCATTACTTTGGACTAAGAATCCAAAGGCTTTTCATAAACGTGGGAGGAGTAGCTCATATCGCAACCCTCGCGAAATTTTACTTAGCCTTGCAGCAACTCCATTTTCCCACGACACTTTCTCCTGGCAATTGTGTCTAAATGCGGCTTGCAGGTAAACAGCTTAGTCAGACGCAGCACTGAACAATAAGTCGCTCCTCTGACAAAAGGGCGTATCTCAGTTTTTACGTGAGCCCCATTTTCCATGTGACGTTACACTTCCAGGGCTCATGTGGTAACCTCAATCCATGCCCCGGCCTTACACTATAGAGGAACGGACAAAAGACCTGATCCGAACGTTGACGATTTTGCATAAGATTCACCTCCTCAACCCATTTTTAGGCGCGCCCAAGAATAATAAACGAAGAAAACAGCCCTCGTGCTGCCGTGCTAAGGATAAACGCCGTATGAACCTTCAGGCGTTGCCGAATTTCCCTCGGTAAATCGCAAATTTTCGGGGAAATTTGTAAGTATTTTTCCTCCAATTTTTCAGATAATTTATTGTTTGCGATTTCCCCCAAAGTTCCTGAAAATTACAAAGGAAAATATTCATAGCTTTCCTCAAAAGTAAACATTTTATTGAAGGAGATTTGGCAACTCTCTAATGTTCATATGGCGTTTTTCCTTAGCAAGGCAGCGTGGATGG